TGTTTTTGTTTCGGGCACAAGGCCATAGCCTGGCAAGGGGTCCGCCGCCAGGCACCAAACAGACGCGGCCTGCCTCCTAGCGTACAAGCCCGGGAGACCCGGGCTACCCTTCGGTGCAGTAATTCAATCCCGACACACAGAGCGGACGTATCCTGTACACAGCAACAGATGACGAGCCCCCAACAAACCGCGCTGCAGCACGCGAACTGCCGTAGGTACCCAGGAAGGTACCCAGGATGGCGGGAGAGGGCGACAACGGCGGAAGTGACATCACATGAACACTACGTATAAAAGCCATCCCGTGGTCCTCACACTTAGAAACCGAAACAGTATTATCAGAATAGCGCAAAGAGACATGCGTGTGTATATATATATATATATATATACACGCACAATATATATTTTTATATATACACGCACTATATATATATATATATATATATATATATATATATATATATATATATATATATATATATATATATATATATATAGTGGGAGTAATATTCAATGGGCCAGTTAGTCTTCGTGAATGTATGGGATATGGCATAACGGAAGCGTTGTCAACAAGGATAAATATATTTAAATATATTTATTCCCCAACAGTTTCGGGAGGGGTCCTCCCTTCATCAAAGGATATTCGTTAAGACATACCCCGATACTAGGCAGTTAAATCGCAGGATTTCTGGGTAACATGCTGCTTTACATAAAAAAAAGTGTCGTTGTATGAACATGTGGTTTCAAGAAAAGCCGGGGAAAGCGGAGCAACTGTAACTTGTACAAATGCAAATTGCTTAAGTAAAATAACGAATTAAGTATGTGCGCGTTCGTAAAGTCACCTTACGCAAACGCAGCATTATACAAATGCGTTGCAGCCAAATAAACTGTACACATTCGAAAAGAGTATGCACGAAGAGTAAAGTTTGGTTTGCCTGAATGAAAACGACAACGCGATACAGATATAAATAACATGCAGCGAATGTACTACACGTAATTCGAGCGCCACTTAAATGAGATAAACTTCGGCTGTTAATAAGAAAAACATAGATCGAACTCAGGGGCCATTGTCGAAGTTTCGGAATATTCCTGAACGCTTCCGCAAGCTAGCGTTGCCACAGCCAAATCCTACCGTGTACAAACTCACGAAGCGTATCCCTTATACTCAAGAGTTGATCAAGTTTGTAAGATATATACGCTTTCATAACTATGTGGAAGAGTGACAATGAATGGATCATTAGCGAGTCGAAACGGAAATACAGCCTATCCATACAAACCAAGTGATTTGTCCATTCAACACCCGCTGACAATAGTGCCCCCATGTGGCCAACGTCACTCGATTTGTACGAACCAACTGAATTGTGTCGTACTGTATGCGTGCATATGTATAGCGGTAACCGTATGAAGTGATAAATTATAAATATGAATTGCTTCTGGTTACCTCTTCGTGCGCACGTGATTATAGAGGTATGTTTAGTTAGAGTGTATAATATTTTACCGAATGTACAATGTTAGCGCACCGCACTTTGAGGTGTGATCTTATAAAGCAAATTTATCGCCTGCTACAACTTCACGTGCCGAATACGTGCAATCGCTTCTCAGTTGGCGACGGTTGCACGAAGGCATGCAAAGAGTGAGATAATGCGGTATTGCAATGCTTGCCGTCTCATTTGTAACCGATTTTTGTTTTGGGCGGCAAAAGTGTAAAACGCGTACCATTTATATGAGCACAATTAAATCATGGCGAAAAAACTTAGATCGACTACTTGGCGCTCTAAGCTGGACCGCCGGACATCGGCCTGTCCAACTTGCGACTTCGCGTTGGCATGAGTTACACTATACACACCCTCTATTACATACCACCATCATCATCATCATCCTGACTACGTTCACTGCAGAATAAAGGCCTCTCCCACGTTCCCCCATTCAACTCGGTCCTGTGCTTGCTGCTGCCACTTCGTACCCGCAAACTTCTTATTCTCACGTCTGCCCAGCTAACTTTCTGTGTCACCCTAACCCGCTTGTCTTCTCTGGGAATCCGGTCTGTTACCCTTAATGACCAGCGGTTATCCTGCCTACGGGCTACATGCCCGGCCCATGTCCATTCAATCTTCTTGCTTTCAACTGTGATATCCTTAACCTCGGTTTGTTCCCTGATCCACTCTGCTCTCTTCTTGCCTCTTGTACACACATATATATACACAATTCCATATACACACTTTGGAAAATACCGATGACATTTTATAGCTAATCGTGCTTGTGCGTTTATTGATGGAAATTTACGCATTTAAACAATACCAAAACCGGGGGTAAAAAAGTAATTGTCATCTGAAAGTTCGTTAATCGAAACATATTGAAAAAGAACCGTGGGTGCATATGGTGTCTGTTGAAACCAAAACATAATCAGGCATTTATCCTAGAACTACATAGTACTAGATACTCTACCAGAGTACCATATTCAGCGGTATGTACTAAACAGAGTGGCACATTAAGGGCCTGGTAATACCGACACGAGTCACATGTAGAACCATGAGCGTTGGCCACCGTCCGCGAAGTTCACGAAATACGCTAAGGGGGACCGTAGCGAAGGAGTTCGGATGTCATCGTACATGCATTAAATGACGAACAACCGCACATTTGCGTCCGGCATAACCACGGCGCAAACTGCACGAAGGCTACGCCTCATAACACGCAAGTTTAGAGTCGGAGCACCGAGTCCAACGATACAAAGGGCATCTTTATTTCCGTTACCACCGGGGTAAACATAAGGGCGAGTTAACAAAACGAAGGCCCGTCCTAAAAATATCCCCCGCTTAGTTAACCATGGTTTCTGGCGCATCGCGTCATTTGTAGCGAGATTCCCGAAACGAGCAGGTTCGTTGCATACGCTCCTGTTAACGCGTGAAAGACACTCTCCAAGCGGGCCTCACACAAAGCGTACAGAAGTGCATTCAGGGGGCGCGTGCACAGTGCGCATCTATTTGCACCTCCTTCAGACCCTCACCCCACCGGGACAGCTTCGTCCACCGCATAGAATACCTCGCTGACAATAGTGCCCCCATGTGGCCAACGTCACTCGATTTGTACGAACCAACTGAATTGTGTCGTACTGTATGCGTGCATATGTATAGCGGTAACCGTATGAAGTGATAAATTATAAATATGAATTGCTTCTGGTTACCTCTTCGTGCGCACGTGATTATAGAGGTATGTTTAGTTAGAGTGTATAATATTTTACCGAATGTACAATGTTAGCGCACCGCACTTTGAGGTGTGATCTTATAAAGCAAATTTATCGCCTGCTACAACTTCACGTGCCGAATACGTGCAATCGCTTCTCAGTTGGCGACGGTTGCACGAAGGCATGCAAAGAGTGAGATAATGCGGTATTGCAATGCTTGCCGTCTCATTTGTAACCGATTTTTGTTTTGGGCGGCAAAAGTGTAAAACGCGTACCATTTATATGAGCACAATTAAATCATGGCGAAAAAACTTAGATCGACTACTTGGCGCTCTAAGCTGGACCGCCGGACATCGGCCTGTCCAACTTGCGACTTCGCGTTGGCATGAGTTACACTATACACACCCTCTATTACATACCACCATCATCATCATCATTATCATCATATGCATCATCATCATCATCCTGACTACGTTCACTGCAGAATAAAGGCCTCTCCCACGTTCCCCCATTCAACTCGGTCCTGTGCTTGCTGCTGCCACTTCGTACCCGCAAACTTCTTATTCTCACGTCTGCCCAGCTAACTTTCTGTGTCACCCTAACCCGCTTGTCTTCTCTGGGAATCCGGTCTGTTACCCTTAATGACCAGCGGTTATCCTGCCTACGGGCTACATGCCCGGCCCATGTCCATTCAATCTTCTTGCTTTCAACTGTGATATCCTTAACCTCGGTTTGTTCCCTGATCCACTCTGCTCTCTTCTTGCCTCTTGTACACACATATATATACACAATTCCATATACACACTTTGGAAAATACCGATGACATTTTATAGCTAATCGTGCTTGTGCGTTTATTGATGGAAATTTACGCATTTAAACAATACCAAAACCGGGGGTAAAAAAGTAATTGTCATCTGAAAGTTCGTTAATCGAAACATATTGAAAAAGAACCGTGGGTGCATATGGTGTCTGTTGAAACCAAAACATAATCAGGCATTTATCCTAGAACTACATAGTACTAGATACTCTACCAGAGTACCATATTCAGCGGTATGTACTAAACAGAGTGGCACATTAAGGGCCTGGTAATACCGACACGAGTCACATGTAGAACCATGAGCGTTGGCCACCGTCCGCGAAGTTCACGAAATACGCTAAGGGGGACCGTAGCGAAGGAGTTTCGGATGTCATCGTACATGCATTAAATGACGAACAACCGCACATTTGCGTCCGGCATAACCACGGCGCAAACTGCACGAAGGCTACGCCTCATAACACGCAAGTTTAGAGTCGGAGCACCGAGTCCAACGATACAAAGGGCATCTTTATTTCCGTTACCACCGGGGTAAACATAAGGCGAGTTAACAAAACGAAGGCCCGTCCTAAAAATATCCCCCGCTTAGTTAACCATGGTTTCTGGCGCATCGCGTCATTTGTAGCGAGATTCCGAAACGAGCAGGTTTCGTTGCATACGCTCCTGTTAACGCGTGAAAGACACTCTCCAAGCGGGCCTCACACAAAGCGTACAGAAGTGCATTCAGGGGGCGCGTGCACATGCGCATCTATTTGCACCTCCTTCAGACCCTCACCCCACCGGGACAGCTTCGTCCACCGCATAGAATACCTCGCTTAAAAGAACACAAGACAACACCCGTACCCCAGCCACCACTGCTTGTCTAAAAGGTGCACTGTCCGCGAAAGAAACAGCACTTCAGCCCCCACGGTAAAATGTTGCTGCCTATGGCACTGAGTTTGTGGAGTCAGCTGCTAGCAGTTGCAGCAGAAACTAGAAACCGAAAGCCACGGCGCTGAAGCCACTCACCGGCCCGATTTGGTGATGATCATCTCGGTGCCGAGCTCGCAGAACCGCTGCCACAGGTCCTTTCCCTCGAGGTTCACCTTGGGGTCGTCCTGCACGCCGTCGTCTTCGGGCTCGAAGCCCGGCGGCGCCCGCAAGTGGCGCGCCGCCAGCAGTTCCTCGGGGGTGAGCTGGGCCTGCGCGCCCAACGGCGGCACGGGTGGCCCAACGAGCTTGGGGCCGGCACCCGGGAACAGCTGAGGCGGCGCGGGAGCAAACACAGGCGGCAGACCGAGGTGCAGGTACGACGGCTGCTGGCTCAGTATCGAGTGCATCGAGAAGTCCGACGAGCTCCGCGCCGGCGGGCTCGAACTGGCCGTGGCGCCGGGCAACAGGAACGGCGTGAAGGCCATGCACTGCCCGGACTGTAGCTCGGGCTCCACCCGCATCGGGGAAGGGAGTCGCGCACCACCGCTCTTACTACTACGCTCCGGGGAAACACGTCAAAAGCACACGATGCCCGCCGCGACGACCGTAGTCGCCGCCGCACGCTCACGGACGGGGCGTCGTCAGAAGCACCGGCGCCGGTTGCTGCGACGGCAGCGGCGGTGGGCCGGCAGCAGCGCCATCGCCTGCCTCCTCTTTCTCTAGGCCGGAGGATGGAGAGAGGGCTGAGAGGGTGAGCTGGTGGCACCCGGAGCAACACCAAGTACGAGGCGCCAGACCGCTCACGAGCCGACGAGGCCCGAGGAGAAAAGAATCACTGATCGCCCGTCGGGATCGTCGACCGACCCGCGTCGCTTGGGCAGTGCCCGTCGACTGGCCTGCGTACTGCCGGCAGGCTGATGTCTGGACGGCGGTGGTAGTGGGGAGCTCTAGCTTAGCCATCGCGAGCTAGGAGAGAGGATTCACACAGCAGGCGGTGGGGACGCGGGAAGGCGAGGAGGGGCGGCGAGCATGGTGAGAATCTCGCGCCCTGCTTGTCTCCCTGGACGTGGCAAGGAGGCTGCCGGTAGGGGGTGCCGGGAGGGGCCGCGCCTCAATACGAACGCTTAATGAGATGCGCGCGGGCGGCCAATGGGAGCGCGCTTGGCACCGCGCCCCGGCGCCGCCAGCTGGCGCCACCTTCCGGCGCCTCCACGGGAGGCGCGATAGTAAGCGCCGTCGGTCGACGCCGTCCGTGCTTCCGTGGTGTTGCAGACGAGCCGCTTCGATCTTCTCCCCTTCGCCTAGCGCTTCGTCGGAAAGAGAGGGGCAGTTGCTCCTTACCACCAGCGAGTAGCGGTGCTTTCCCCGTCGCACGAAAAGCTCTTTCACTGCGTCGTGTCCGGCAGAATGTGGCTTTATTTGTTCTAGTAGACAACGAGGGAGCAAGAAGATGAAGTGACTAGCTCTTCGCATGCACTTGACACCACAATAGAGTCGGTCTCTTCATCGAGGCATTAGCCACGGGGGCAGGGAGGGTGGATTGCTCAGAAAATTGTGACTCGGTATCTGGTGACAAAGAACCGAGTGGAAATGTTCGAGAAATCGTCGCCCATTGTCTGTCCCCGTTTCGTCTTCACAAGAATCGTGCAGCCAGCTGGAGTTCTTTCAAAGGGCCCCCTCTCTTCTACATTTTAACCCTGTCGTAGCAGTTCCATGAGGACCATTGCAGACTTCTATGACATGGAATGTTGCGGCAAAAGGCACACAAAGAACACTCACATACTGAACAAAGCTAATACCCGAGCTCTTGTTGAACAAAAGTCTTTTGGCAAGCAGCTGCGTCCGGCGAACCTCCGTATGAATGGTATTCGACCGTGGCGTTGCCGCAGGTGTCCAGTGGCTTCGGAACTCTTCCCTTCAGAGGGTTGTTGCAGTAAATGCCCTTCCAGGGAAGCTAGCTATCATGTTTGACGAATATGCTGCTAAGACGGGGATTCCTTCTAACTTCCCTGTGTGAGTTCGCCCCGCCGATTTGCACGCATGTCACGGAGATCTTCGTTAACCCTTCGTGGCAATGCATGGAATGATAGGACTTTATCTTTGTTAGTGAATCTTCTAGAAAAGTAGTCGAGTGCACGTGCACGTTCAGTAGCACTGATAACTGGGTCAGTTGGTATGCGTTCGTTAATGGAGACTAAGCCACTGACATGTGCCACAGGTGTAGTGTGCAAACTACTTTTGTCATGTGACTCTATGCATATATTATCAATGACAACTAACAAACAATTCTCAGTGTACTTGTGTCTAACAAATAAAAACGAACCCGTGAATTTAAACTTCTTTCCTTGCGTATACACGGGGCAGACCGGAAGATTGTGTTAATGTAAAGTTAATATCGAACGAGCCAAATATTCGCGCTGATGGCCTGGCAGATGCCTGCGCACTTCGCAATACAGAAAAACCATAACAACAGTGCTACAACTCACTACCATGACAACCTGCGAGATTGTCGAGGCCTTTCACATACACAATAACAATTCTTGCATTAGCGTCGCATCTATCGCACTGCATTGAGAAAGAAATCGTGCATTTGAGATGCGCGATTTCGATACCTTTTGCTGCCTTTGTGTGTTTTTATGCTGTGCGCGTAATCACGCATAAGTTTAAAAGTGTGTGCCAAGATGAATAAAGATTAGTTGAGAGTCCGGCACCTGTTCTCGTGTGTTCTTCGCAACATGTTTATCGTCCCTCGGTATATAGGGCCGCTTAAAAAGCGCGTGCGCGTTCTACAAGCCCGCAAATTGTTTTCACTGTGGCACCTGTCCTCTAGTTACGCCGTGTAAGTATTGACCAAAGGATATGACAGAAAAAAAATTGTATAATCATGGCAGCCAATGAAAGATTCTTAAGCAGCTCATGCGAAAAGTTGGGTTGCTTTGGATCCCCGGGCATGCCGGAATGGGCCTTTTCCATGTCGCACGCCGGCCTGGATGAGGCACGCGTACGGCATGTGTCATGATCTTTGGTGGCCAAAACGTGACGACACGTACAGACCAAGCGACATCTGGTGCCACAAACATGAGAATGTTCTACCCAAAGAGAGGCGTGAACGCACGCCTCAGAGATTGCCTACCGGCATGTGGAGGGATATTTCGGAGTCCAAGAGCCACCAGTCTTTGATTTCGGTGATCTCCGCTTGGGGTGCTGTGCGGACTAGGAAAAGGCACATCGCACTAAATGAAAGTGGTGACTTGCTCGCTTCGGCGTCGTTAAATTTCCTGGTGGTTCCAGTAGCTCCACGGTTTTCTTTTATTACAGCTGAACGATTTAAACGCCTGTTAATCTTAAAGAACAACCAAACATCGCTCCTACAATCCGATGAAAATCCCCGCCGCGGTGGTCTAGTGGCTAAGGTACTCGGCTGCTGACCCGCAGGGCGCGGGTTCGAATCCCGGCTGCGGCGGCTGCATTTCCGATGGAGGCGGAGATGTTGTAGGCCCGTGTGCTCAGATTTGGGTGCACGTTAAAGAACCCCAGGTGGTCTAAATTTCCGGAGCCCTCCACTACGGCGTCTCTCATAATCATATAGTGGTTTTGGGACGTTAAACCCCACATATCAATCAATTACAATCCGATGAATTTCGGCGCTTGCAATTCACATGGAACACCGCAAAATGCATTTCCCATCAATGTGAGGTGACCCTCACAAGCTTTCGCTGTAGAGTTCTCCGGTTAAATTATTATCTTCACAAATTGGGATTTTCATTAACTAACCTATCTGCAGTCTGCAATGAACCGGAAACAATAGATCACTTTCTTCTCACATGCCACCGTTTCGCTTCACTGCGCCGAGCCCCGCCGCGGTGGTCTAGTGGCTAAGGTACTCGGCTGCTGACCCGCAAGGCGCGGGTTCGAATCCCGGCTGCGGCGGCTGCATTTACGGGGGAGGCGGAAATGTTGTAGGCCCGTGTGCTCAGATTTGGGCGCACGCGAAAGAACCCCAGGTAGTCGAAATTTCCGGAGCCCTCCACTACGGCGTCTCTCATAATCATACGGTGGTTTTGGGACGTTAAACCCCACATATCAATCAATCAATCACTGCACCGAATAATTTTTGAGAGGCCGATTGGTATGCTGGGATTGGCAGTTAATACATCCACCCTTTTATCGTATGGATCCAGTCAGTTGGGTGCAGGCCGCAGTGCTTTTCTGTCAACGCTACATAAATTCATTCAGGCAACCGAAAGGATACGCTGCTATGGTGGTACTGCCAGATGAACCCAATTCTTTGCCCCCCTTCTTCCCTTTTGCTAATTTGTTTTATATATTCTGGTTTATCGAATTCTTTTGCCCTTTTCACCTTTTTTCTTCCTTTTTTAAAGGAACTTTACTATTGTTCTCATATATCTGCTGTATCTGATTTTTTTCCTCTTTTAGCAAGCATTGTATAAAAAAATTGCGTTATAAGGTACAGTGTGGCCAATTCCCCTTGGGGGTATGAGTCAAGGTGATCTAGGCGACAAGACAAGACATTCGCATGTCCGTTACATTATTATTACTGTAGTTACTATATCAGGTAGCAGAACAGTCGCGCAAGTTTTTCTCGATTATAGATGCAATATCGCCCATGATATCCCACGGGTATAGTACCCCAAACAAGGAGCAACATTTTCGATTTCTAAGAAATAGGTATGTTATGCCATTGACGCATACTAAAACTCCGTAATATAAACAGCTGCCCTCAATTCAATAATTAAGAAGCTTAATAACGAGTCTTTGTTCATTAGTCGCAACAGTGTCATTTTAATGGCGCCAAAGTATTTCCACCACGACGTGAAGTTAGTGGGCTTAAAAGAGGAAAACTTTGCTCCTATATAGACCATACTCCCGTAAAGTTTTTTTTTATAAAATGCCATTAATAATATTTCAAATTCAAATCAAAGCGTTATTTTTTTACATAGCCTTGTTACAGCGGGAAGAATATACAGAAAAGCGTCCCAAAGTTAGGAACGTACCGGGACCCTCTGTAAATAATAATAATAATAATAATAATAATAATAATAATAATAATAATAATAATAATAATAATAATAATATACCTTGGAGTTTAACGTCTAAAACCACAAAATTAGAGTGAAAAGCTTGTATTGTCTAGAAAAAAGAAAGACATGAGTATATGCATGTATATATAAGTTCCCCTTGAACGTGTGGCTTCGATACGAATCTGTACATCGTAGATAGGCATCTCTTCTCAGTTGTGTTATTGCCTTCTCGAGCTCATCGGATCAATCTTGCATGGCCAACTATATATAAAATATCCAATCAATCCTGAAGCAATTTAATACAACCCTGATTTCATGTTCTCGCTACGTATAGCAAAAGTGAACCGTTATTTCGTCATTCTTGCAAAGGGGTCTGTAAATTTCATGACATGATGAATCCGCATGTATCTATAACTTCAACTCGTATCGCCCAGCCGCGGTGGTCTAGCGGCTAAGGTACTCGGCTGCTGACCCGCAGGGCGCGGGTTCGAATCCCGGCTGCGGCGGCTGCATTTCCGATGGAGGCGGAAATGTTGTAGGCCCGTGTGCTCAGATTTGGGTTCACGTTAAAGAACCCGAGGTGGTCTAAATTTCCGGAGCCCTCCACTACGGCGTCTCTCATAATCATATAGTGGTTTCGGGACGTTAAACCCTACATATCAATCAACTTCAACTCGTATCGTGTCTACGGCAGAATGCGAAATACGTGTGGGTACGAACGGCGGGCTGGAAGCGCTCACTTTTATTAACAGGGTTATCGCCTCATACAAAAATACTGTATTCAATGTTTGATAACGTATACCCACGATTGTTGGTAGGTGACTTTTCATTGCGTTCAGAAGAAATACGCCATGACGTGGGC